TTTTTTTTTTTTTTAATCAAGGAACTGGCAAGTACATTTATATTGAGACTTCTAGTCCACGCAACCCAGGAGACCCTGCGCGACTTGAGGGTCCATGGATGCGGGGACCGCAATGCATGACGTTCTACTACCACATGCGTGGCTCCACCATGAGCTGTGTCATCATATACATAAGAAGCATGGCTACCTACAGGTATAAACTGGTTTGGCTGAAGTCTGAGGATCGAGGAGACCATTGGATACCAGGGCAAATAAGCATAAACACGACTGAAATCTTTCAAGTAAGTTCTTTCGAGTTAAACCTCAATCACGTTAGACCTGCCAGTCTTCTACAACAGTAGAAGACTAACAGTTAGGCATTCCTCATTTCCAGGCAAGGTAGGCTGTGGTCTAAGAAAAATTCAGGAGGGGCCAAAGGTTCCTAACCGTAAAATCATGTGTGCCCAGCAATAAAGCTTATATGAAAAAAGTAAGTTTTTCCAGTATCCCAAAGGCGAAAGTTATTCGCCTGTGGCACCCAGGCACCCTTAGAGTACAGCCCTGTGAGGGTAATGTTGTCATTCAAAAATTATCCTCAGTGGGTGCGGGTCAGTAGGTTGTCTATTTTTATTACCATCATCGACTGCAATTTGTCTGTAATTAATCATAACTTTATACTTTGACGATATTTCGCGCACATGTCATTGAATTTGTTTAGGTAATTATCTATGGTATTAGAGGCAGAAGTTATCTTGGAGATGCTGCATTGGACGACTTTTCTTTCCAGAAAGGAACTTGTCAACAAAAAGGTATTGACACGCTGAAAATAGATCTACTACTCTAGGTATTTGCAAATCGTTGAAAGTATGTGTTTATGGCCCTTCTGGTGGGTAAAATTGTTCCTCTCAGTCAAATAAACGTTTCAATTTTGTGATTCTGATGAGGAAACATTCAACATAGAATTGATTACAGATATTGTACTTGCAAGCAATGTTAACTATTACAGTCAATTTGTTAGCGATTACAGATAATTGCGCTTTCTCAATGTTGAAGTAATATGTCAAACACGGAAGACCGTGTTTGACCACATTTCCAAACACCGAGAAGAGAGTTGAAAATACGACACGCAGCGGAATATTTTTGACGAACTTCGAGGTGTTTGGAAATGTGGTCAACCACTGTCTTGAGTGTTTGATATATCTTCTCAATCGAAACTAAAACTAAGGGGAAAACGGAGAAATAAAATCGTAAAAATCTATGCTAATTAAGATCAGATATCCAAAGACCGTCACGGTCATGATTTCCTTTGTTTAAACTTGAGAACTTTATGTGTACAATAGCTGCGATCTGCTCTTTCAGAAGTGATGATTTATAAACATGCTGTTATCTTACTGCAAGTCATGAAACAGAACATGTATTTTCCTAAGGAAAAAACATATCTTTCCAGGCTAGTCCAAGTTTCTGAACTGTTCCCTTCCTTAGCAGTTTAATTAGTACGAGATAAGTTATATTGTATGAAGTGCTCTCTTTAATTCAATTGATATGAACGAATCTTTCACTTGCAGTCGTAACAACCTTTTACGTGTCCTCATACATGGGTCGAGGCTTCCGACTTTCTTCGCTGCCCTTCGATCACAGTCGGTACTCGGAAGAGTTTCGATTCACTCTCGAGCATCCGAGTGGAAATCCGAAAGAGAGACCATACTTTATCTACTCTGGATTGTACAGCAGACCAAGTCTCGTCACATCCTATTTGGATCTCTCTAACACTGGAAACTTTCCTCTAGATGTTGTTGTTCTACGCGGAGCTGGAAACAATTCCAGGAAGATTAATTTGATAAACAGGAGTCCCTATAGGCAGATGATTAGTGTTGGCGACTACACGAATGATAACTGCTGTGCGAGAAGAATCGTGTTCTCTTTTTATGCCTTGGATGTCACTAAACCAGGTAGGAAAACAATAGCAAAAACGGCATTAACAACAATACAAGTTTATAAACTTTTCTTGCTGCACGAAACGTCTATCACGATGTGGAACAGGGGTTATTTTTAAACGAATATAAAGCCATTAAATATGATTCACGGTACGTTTTTCAGCTTGGAAACACTTTACCTTCGTATAAACATCAAAGCTACGAAAAAAAAATACCAATTACTAAATTAATTCTAGGAATTTTCATGTCGCCATGTACTACCCAGAAATTCCAAAAATAAGCCGTCGGTTTAGTTTTGTCTAAGGATTTGTTTCGCTGGCTTAATTTTGGGATATATGCGGGTGAGCATTTTGTCCAATATCGGAGGAAACTTAATAAGTAAAGTGGTAACTAATCACCTCTTACTACTTGCGAAATATTATATATACTGTTGTAGTATTAATGAAGAACCTTTGTATTTTAGTACTTATCCAACAATAGTGATAAACAAAGCTAAAATCGAAAAACAAATATCAACGAGGACCAATTCACCTGAACGTTACTACAATAAATGGAAACCTTTAATTGACAAGAAGTTTGTAACTCAGAGCTGTATTTTACTTTTCTTTGTAGTTTGTAGGATGTAGCTCAACGTTTCGCAAGTTATAGTAGTTAACATAACTATATGTTTTTCTTTTCTCGTACTCCATTGTATTGTAAGTATATGTAAGTATTATATTGTAAAGGTAACGTAAATACTGTTAATATTTAATTATAATAATAATAATAATAATAATANCAATAAATGGAAACCTTTAATTGACAAGAAGTTTGTAACTTAGAGCTGTACTTTACTTTTCTTTGTAGTTTGTAGGATGTAGCTCAACGTTTCGCAAGTTATAGTAGTTAACATAACTATGTGTTTTTCTTTTCTCGTACTCCATTGTATTGTAAGTATATGTAAGTATTGTAAAGGTAACGTAAATACTGTTAATAACAATAATAATGATAATAATAATAATAATAATAATAGTAATAATAATAATAATAATAATAATAATAATAAAGCGGAAATCTAACCATCCCTATCGGGGTGGTAATACTTTACTTTTTAGAGATTCTCGAGATTTTGGGAGCTTACTTTTGAAAGTTGAAAGTATTTTGCTTTGCAGGCAGCCTGCCATCTAATGGTTGCGAGCCCGGTTGGTACAAAGCCAACAAATCGTGTCATCTGTTTTATGTTCTATATTCTCGGCAATGGGGCGACGCACGAACCAGGTGTCACTTTTACGGTGCTGAACTCGCCGTTGTTAATGACGCCAGAACTGTGCAAGACCTTGCTTATCAGAGAGGAATGCTAAACCTTGATGACCGCGACTTTTACCTTGGGTTAAGTGGGCAGTTGAAGTGGATTTGGTCAGACGGGAGCTTTGTGTCCAATAATACACCGAATCAATGGGGTCCAAACGAGCCCAGTGATGACGGCAAATGCGGCGCATTTTTGAATGCTATTAGATGGGATTCTAACTGGAAAGGGTATGGATGGCGATGGAATGATATACCATGTACCAGCCGAAAGGGATACATCTGTCAGCAGCCGTTAGGTATGCTCACTAGGTATTGCTGCGTTATAAGGAGGAAGGGACCCAAGGGTGGCCAAGAGGATAAGGGCGCTGGTCTTGTAATACACCTTATTCCAAAATGGCCCCCATTTTAGTGTTCTTTTGTTTGCCTTCAAATTACCACTTGTTGCCTCGTTCTTAAACTCGAAATTCAAAAGAATATTTTCCCTTGAACGAGGCAACAAGGGCTAATTTGCAAACAAACAAAGGAACAATAAAATGACGGCCATTTTGGAATAAGGTAAATGGTGGTCACGGTTTCAAGTACTCTATCATGCTGTTATATTACTGGGTTTGTTCTTAAAAGTCTCGAGTTAATGTCCTCGTCCCGATCATGCAAATAGCCAGTTGAAGCTGAATTTTGTTTATTTCGCTCTTTAACTATGGCTAGCGGGCTTTTTCTAGGGAAAGAATCTTTTTGTCAAATTTAACCCCAGACCTTTCTGAAACATTTCATTTCAATGAAGACCCCGCATTTTCTTTACTTACCGTTCCAAAAAAAATGTTGACACCTTGTCTCTCTCTAATTAGCGAAAGTAGGGGAAACGACTTCCTTTAACT